CAAACGTTCGATACATTATTTTGGGACACCCTGTATAAGTAAATTCTGAGCCTTTGATCTAGTGCGCAGTGATGAGACAATTTCTAGCGAAGAGGATGAAAGGAAAGGATTGTGAAAGGATTTTTGCTGGTTTCCTTTTAACCCTCAAAACCATACTTTTTGATTGCGAAAAGGATATTCTGGCTGATAGACTTTCCCACAGAGTTGAAACTGACTTGATGATGGAATCTCATTAGTTCGTCAATCCACCATTTGGCAGTGTTACCGCTTAGATCGAGAAAATCGGGGAATGCAGTATGGTTATCCGGCCACACGACACCGAGCATAATTTTCGTTCCTTTCACCAGAGGATACAGGCTCTGAAAGTGACTATGTTTGAGGCCCTACTTCATAAACTTCTTACATTCGTCGAGTTTATCACTTGGCTGGGGCGTTCCCATTCAACAAACTTTGCTCCCTGCAAATATTTTCTTTGCACCAAGGTGAAAGGAGATGATGGACAGAAACTAACTGCTGCAATTGCTCTTCCAAACGGTTCGTAATTGGCCTGAATTGCTGGATCGAACATCAACACTGCACGCATTCCACGACTGTGCAGTTGGTCAACGTACGCAGGAAATTCTCGCCAGCTCTAACAACTTTCATAATGGATTCGGGATTTTCAGTGTTTGAGCAAACCTCTCCAATTGAGAAGTCTTTGTATCTGTCCATATAATCGATGTCTCCGACAACTGTATCAACAGGTACTCCAGCTTGAATGTTTTTCTCGACTATGTCCCTCATCTCAGCGAAATTTTTGTAGCCCCACCGAGAGATCTGCAAAATATATAGCTGTTTATCAAACATGGAAACCAAATGGACGCCTGCCTGGAAGCCAAAGCCCCAATAGGCTGGTAAGGTTGGAGTTCCTATCAGGGCCAAGTACTGCTGTGTTACTTCCTCTGGGGTAGGACCCGGGAAGAAGTACATGTCCAAATTACCGCCTATTGTGCGGTAAATCAAGATAGGTCCGGGAGCCGTGGTGATTTCCTGAAAATTTAGTTGAAGAGTCGTTCATGTGTACCATCAAGCCCCCAAGTCAGTCATTATGTCCTCATTACATTCAGTATGCGGACAGTCATCAAATGCAAAAAAATTTTGTGATAGTTTTCCAGTGGAACTCTTTTCAAGCGTAAATGTAGATTTTGTACTGCGCAAAATTT